TTAAGGGAAAAAATATTCAGTCTTTCACCATTAAGTATAACTATAATGCTAGCTGTAAGTGTTTAGGTGTTGTCAAGCTTAGGAAGTTCCCCTCTATTCCTGTTTTTCTGAGAGTTGTTCTTCATAAATTTAATTTTGTCAAATGATTTTTTGCATCAGCTGATATGGGCCTATGATTTTTTTTTCTTCTTCATTCTTAAACTGGCTGGATTACACTGACTAACTTTAGATATTGAACCAGCTTTACATCCCTAGAATAAACCCACTTGGTCATAGTGTACAATTCCTTTTATTTCTGAAGGCTATTTGATAGTATTTTATTAATAATCCTTACATGCATATTCACAAAAAAAAATCAGTCTTCAGTTTTCCTATTTTGTAAAGCCTTTCTCTGGTCTCAGTATTAAAGTCATACCAGATTCATAAAGTGAATTGGGAAATGTTCTCCTCCTCTTCTATTTTCTGGAAGAGATTGTATGAAATTTTTGTAAATTTTTCTTTAAATGCTTGGTAGAATTCGCCAGTGAAACCATCTGGGACTGGAGATCGTTTAGAAGAGGGTTTTTTATTGCAAATTCAATTTCCGTAAAAGTTGTGGAGGTATTTAAATTATTTGTTTCATACTAAGGATGTTTTTGGACTCCACAGACCACAAAAGGTTAAGTCCTATGAGAGCCATGGGGAAGTTTCTAGAAGCAACTCCATTTGTTCTGTAGACTCACAAAAAGCTCCAGAAGTAATACAAAAGACACATCTGAAGTGGGATAAACTTGGGGTCAAAAACAGCAGAACTGGTTGGAAGTCTGTGTGTGGAGCAGCTAGGTCCCAGAAACCCTCTCTTGCTTCAACCAAAGACAGTGCTATCATCTGAAGTGGGTAAAACAGAAGTCTCTGGACTGAGAACTAACTACAATGAAGGGCCAGAGTAATACACTGAGAACAGGGGTTAAACACAAATTCAGATATTTAATGCCAAGATTCCAGCTTTCTGCCCTCTTGGTTCCTACATGTTGGAATCAGAAGAGCCTCCCTGAGAAATCAGGGTAGTCCCAAACCAAAACCCAGAGACATCATCAGACAACGAGATGGACCAGCACATCTCTTTCCAATTAAGCTCACAGTGCTTTTTCTTAAAGATGAACAAACAAGGGTCACCAGAAGTCACAGAAAAGTCTCTAATGTGAAATAAAGAAATGTTTAAAAAAATAAATAAATAAACAAACAAGCCAGAAAACAGCAATTTGGAAGGAACAGAGTGGAGTTGTCTCAGGAACTTACCAGATGAAGAAACCCCTACGGCTCCCTGGCTCCCCACCTGGAATTTATGTCCTCAGAGATAAAAAAGAATCAGGCAGGGGCAGAATCCTATTTTTAAAAATTCAAGGAAAAGAAATTATCTCAGAAAAAAATAAAGAATACTTAGTAGGAAATATTTAGTAAAATAGTATGAAAATAAGTGTAGGTTGATCTCCCAGAAAGCATGGCAAATGGACAAAGAGAAAATTTGAAGAGCTAATGTTCAAATTATTAGAGTTTCAACAACAACAAAAATAGAGGAAAGAAAAGAATAAATCATCCAAGAAATAATTCAAAACTGAAGGGAGTGAGTTTTCATAGTAAAGGGTCCATTAAGTGCCCAATACCGTGGATAAAAATGGACCCACACCAAGACACGATAGTATGACATTTCAGAACACTGGGGGCAGACAAACACTTTCATATGTATCTAGAGAAGAAGAAGAAAAGAAGAGAGATTCTGAATGCTGTCAGATTTTTCAATAAACACCACTTGGTGTTAGAAGGAGGCGCAGCCACGTCCTTAAATTTCTCAGGGAAAATTATTCCTGCATAATCACACACTTGGAAAAATCATCATCCAAATTTAAGGGGAAAGACATTGTCACATACCAGGAAGTTCCTGGAGAATGTACTCCATAAAAACACGAAGGAACTAAGAGAAAGGAAGAGAGGGGATCAGGAAACAGGAGCTGGAACACCGGAAAGAGGCAAACGACACTAGCAGGAGGTCAGAAAATGAGATTCCAGCCTGCTCCTTGAGTTCCTTGCTAGAGATCAGCTAGTGCAGCTCAAGACCATTTAGAATTCTTCAGGAGACGGTAACAGAAAAGATAGATGTGAATGAAATATGTGAAGTGAAAATTAAAATGATGATTTTTTTTTTTTTTTCTGAGTAAGGCTCTTCACATTTGCCTACAAATCGACCTTCTTCTTCGACATACCTGCTCTACTTTCCCACACGCTGTTCTCTAAGCATAAAAACCTTTCCTTTCCTGCTCCAAGGTCTTTGCATGTGCTGATCCCAACATCTGATTTGGGGGGGGGGCAGGGTCCTAGAACTCAACTCTTCACATGAGTGACCTTCTCTCAACAGTAAATCATTTATCAGTGATTGGAATCATAAGAGCCTCCCTGAGAAATCAGGGTAGCCCTGTACAGAGGGCTTCCCTTACCACCTAATCCCCCCACTTGACACAATTTCTAACTCTATGTAATTTGAAGCTTCCTTTTGTTTATCATCTTTCTTGCTAGACTGTATGAACCATGCATATAGGATATGCATTAATCAAATTCACAAGTGTTAAAGTCCTTACCCACATCAAAGAGTAGAAAGAGGACTTGGAACTGGAGACCTAGAGGAAGGACTTGTGGAGATTTCATTGAGAAAGTTATGCTGTGAGCCTATCCCTCACCCTGCCCCATCCAGAGCAGAAGGGATGACTCTGCTAACTCCAAACCAAGAGGAAAAAACTTCAGGGACACTGCTCAAATATGTTTCCCTGCAGACTGCTGGTATATAATTCACACCTGAGAAACTTGATAGCTGAGAAACCAGCTGCAGCAGCCCTTGTAAGCAGAGTAGGCGCGTCTGTGCTGGCTCCCTGAACTTCGACAGTGTGTTTAGCAATGTGTGCATGTGGGTTTCCTGTGGTCCAGAGATGGGTGGGCCACATGCAAGAAAGAGTCAGCGTGGAGTTGTCTCACCAGGGCAGCCACCGAGGGTGGATACAGGTAAATAATCAGAATATGCCTACCTGGCCAGGAGCTCAGGAAAGAGTAGTATTGCCAAGACAAAGTGTTTAGAACAGCATAAGTCAAGGGAACTGGAGGCAAGAGATCCCAAGAGATTTGGGAGGGCAGGGGCAGCATCTTAGGAAAATCCATCCAAGCGCTCACAGTAGCCAGCTTTAAACACCTGCCAAACCAGAGCACACCCACGCTTGCTCACAATGGTAAAGTCCAGCCCCTTCCCTCTCCTCCTGACCAAATCTTCCTTTCTGAATAGGTGCAGAAAAGACAAAAAGGTGTGCAATTGCCCTTCCTGATCCACAGCGTTTGCATCAGTAGCACAGCCCACCTGGGAGAGAGAAGGCATGAACTCACACACATTCTAAGACATGCCACTTGGCAAAAGGATGTTTCAAGCTCAATCAACATCATTTCAAAAATTAATCAAATAATAAATAAACATGTAAGTATTTTGGTTGAACGATAAGAGGATGAATGTGATCATTCATAGCCCTTAATGTATTCCCCTAAATTATTCTTTTTAAAACAAAGACAATTATATAATATTTAAAAAAAAAAAAAAACTCAACAAAGACAAATGCAAACAAACCCCACTCCTTTCCACTATAACCCTATTGTTTAATTGCAAATTATTCATATTCCCCAGACTTGGGAGGTTAAAAGGCACCAAAGTCCTACCTTCCCTACTTTAATTTCTAGCTGAACACCCTCCCTCCAGCGACTTCCCAGCAGTCGGAAGGAACTTATGCTCAACCTAGGAATCTCCTGCTCCCCTGGTCCACAGGTGTGTGGCCCTCCCTTAGCAGGCCTCAACAGGATAAGTACATCCCACTATTGCACCATTTCCCCATTGTACTTCCATACAGCGTTGCTCACCTAGAACAGCAGGGCCTTTACTTCCTCACCACTGTGAAAACATGAGGAAGCAGGCAAACTCCCTTGTCTTCCCAAGACATAAATTTTCATTATGTATAAATTTGAGGCTTCTTTGCTATTTGTCTCCCTGGACTGTAAGAACCATGTGGGCAGGATCTGCATTAGTTGAATTCATGAATTGTTAAACTCCTTACACGTAACAGGGGTAGAAAGAGGGTCTGGAGCCAGAGACCTAGAGGAAGGACTAAATTTCACTGAGAAAGTCCGTCGGTTTCAGTTCAATAACCATTTATTGAAGGGTTAAGGAGACTAGAGGACATACTTGGTGGTAAAACAGCAGTCTAATCGAAATCTAAACTAGGGCCTAAATGTCTGCTCTGTACCTCGAGGCTAATCAGTGATAAACAATTTACTCTTTCACCTGACAACATCTTAAATCTGAAGAATGGCTGCCGGAACCTTGGAGTCTTCTTTTGTCCAGGACCAGCACATCAGGCTTCATCAACCTGAGGCTTTGTCTTTCGTAAGAGCTGAGGGAAATTAGCTGGGATTTAAATTGTCCTCTGAGGAAATATCTCAAATTGTCTCAAAAAGCGAGGGGTACAGGCTTATGGGTTTTATTAATGAAGTGATCTTACATTTTACACATGTTATTTAACATATCTAAGATGTGGAAACAGAAATTTGCATTACCTTCTTAATCAATGGTTTGCTCAGGGCAAATGAATCAGAAATGAATTAAAATTGCAGCCACTCAAGGGTGGAACCCAAAAAACATACCATCTTACCTCAAATCTCAGTGATGTAATGTGGCAAGCCTTCTCTTCCTCAAAGCCCATGTGCCTGGTGCCTCGGACTCCTGGGAGGACTGTCTGGTTTGGGTATGTGACCATACACTTGAAAACTAGTCCATTTTTAAACATGGTATAACTTGAGGTTGACTAATATTTCGACCTAGCAGATGTTTTCAACCACTGTCTCAGTACGTACCAAATCCAAGTCAAGGGTTGCCCCTCCCCAGCGCTCCAGAGGCACCAACACGCCCCCCACACAGGACAGGTCAAGCCACCACTGACCTTCCTGTCAAACACCTCCGCAGAGAATAGGAGGCTCCGCCCCCACAGGTGCGCGAGCAGTCACTCCAGTCGCCCCAGGCATCCCAGTTGCCATCTTTGTCTTCATCAGAGCGAGCGTTTCTTGAGGTCTAGGTGTGAAACACACATAAGGAGTTACAGACACATGTGGTAAAAATATCCCATAGTTCCCCCAGTTTTTCTAGATTCTTCTTCTACATTGCTCTCAGAGACCAAAGTTGCCTAAAAATGTTTTGCTTTAGAATGGCTGCATTTTTTAAAAAATCACACAAGAAAGGTTTGTGCAGAAACTAGCTGGTCCACGCATGTCTTTCAACCTTAAGAAGGCTTTGTTCAGATGGTTTCTAAGCTCAGTTTGAAGCATGAAATTTTACCATTTCTAAATTTAAATAATTTGCCTAAATATCAGTCTATTGTTTTTCTAAATGATTTTTTTTTTTTACATAGCAGGGTCCCACCTTGAACCTAAGAAGTGCTCCCCACTGAAATTCCGATTCACCTGCCTGTCAGACAAACTAATGGTAACCCCCAAGGAATACTTCTGCATGAAGATTTCTGGAACTTTCTTAGAGAGAGGTTCCACCTCAAGAAAACAAAGTCAGATAGATGAGCATAGCTAAGTTATAAAGCTTAGGAGTCCAAGAAAATAGGGAAGGGTCAATTTTGTGTATATTTGGTTTGTCTCTGGGACTTACCACCATGTCAGGATACTCTAGGAAAGCAAGAAGAAGAGGAGTTAGTTACAAGGGGAAAATATATAGATAAGAAATGAAGCCTATTACTTAAATAAAGCTATAAAACTTTACTAGGAAAACTAAATCAGATGTGAATAAATGAAGAGACAACCACAGTCCTGAATGGGTAGACTCAATACTGTAAAGTGCTAATTCTCTCCAAATTAATCTATAAATTTGTAGCAACTCCAATCAAAATCCTAAGAGGGAAAGTTTTGGAAAAGCTTATCTATGGGAATATATATTTGTATATATATACATAAAACCAAAGGGGGGGGGGGAGAAAGATGGAATCACCAAATAACCAAGCAATCAATTCCATTTCCAGATGTCTACCTAAAAGAATTAAAATCAGGACTCCTAAAAGATACATGCAAAGCCATGTTTATTGTATCATTGTTCACAATATCAAAGAGGTGGAAGCAACCCAAGTATCCATCAGTAGATGAATGGATAAACAAAGGGTGCTATATTCATATGTACAATGGAATATTATGGTGCCATAAAAGGGAAATCTTGTCACATGCTACAACATGGATGAACCTTGAGGACATTACACTAAGTGAAACAAACAAGTCACAGAAGGCCAAATGCTGCATAATTTTACCTCCCTGTGTTTTCTAAAGTAGTCCACCTCACTGCAGCAGAAGGTAGAATGGCAGCTTCAAGGGACTCAGGAGGGAGAAAGGAGGAGTTAGGTTTGCATGGTTATGAAGTTTTAGTCACACAAAATTACACAGTTGTGGAGATCTGCTGCACAACACTGTGCTTGTAGTTAACAATACACTTCAAAATTTCTTAAGAAATTAGGTCTCATGCTATGAGTTTTTTTTTAACTGCAATTAAAAAGATTAAAATAAGGACATGAGAAGAAACAGCCTCAATTAAAAGAGCATAGAATTGATGTAGCAATAAGCAATCTGAGCTATTAAAATTTAGTAAGAGTCCAAAAACAGACCCAAGAATAAGGCTATAGTATAAGAACACAAAACCAAAGTGATAAATGGATTCTTAAAAACCATAGATAGCTTCTTCATAAAATATACCAAAATTAATCCCAGACATAGTATAAATTTATATTATAAATAGTAAAACCATAAAATTATAGATTAAGAGTCTTGTTGTTTTCTCTCTATTTTCTTGGAGTGGGAGAGCATCCAATATAGAATTAGCGTAAGAAAGACGGTCCTAGATATGTTAACAAAGGAAGAAACTATAAAGGGAAAGACTGATAGGTTTAATTACATTAAAATTTAAACACAAAGTATTTTCTATCTCTTCAACTTCAGAAGACAGTAGTGGTCTATGAATATACACTCAAAAACTCAAGTAGAAAATGTAACTATGTGGGCTACAAGGCCTCACATCAGATGGCCTCTAAGAATACTGGAGGTGGGATGAGGAGCCAATCTGCTGAGAAGAATCACAACTGAATGTCTCCTTTTCTCCTATTATAAAAAACCAGGCCTATAATCCCAGTAACTCAGGAGGCTGGAGAGGCAGAAGGATCACAAATTTGAGGCCAGCCTCAGCAATTTAGCAAGGACCAAAGCAACTTATGAAAAAATATGACAAAACGGTAAATTTGATAAAACCAGGTGGTGCTATTTTGGATGCCAGCTAATTAATTTCTAATTGTTGTTTGAAATTTCTTTTTAGAACTATGTGTAATCCCAGCAATTGGGGAGGCTGAAGCAGGAGGATCCCTAGTTGGAGGACAGTCTCAATAATTTAGCAAGACCTTGTCTCAAAGTAAAAAATAGAAAGGACTGGGGATATGGCTCAGTGTTTAGGTATCCCTCAGTTCAACCTCCAGTATCAAATAAATAATAAAAATATGTGTTTAGGGCAAAACGAAATCACTAGATAAAAATAAATATATGTTGTATCTTTCTTTTGGAGGGGGTGATAGAAAAATAATTAAATGAGAGATCTGTAAAAAGGACCTTCAAAAATGAATTGAAGAAATCATGACTTGATACTTTACCTCTGAGCTACATCCCCAGTTTTGTTTATTTTTCAATTTGAAACAGGATCTCATTAAGTTACTGAGGGTGTTGCTAAATTGCTGAGTCTGGCCTCAAATTTTTGCATCCTCCTGCCTCAGCCTCTGAGTCACTAGGATTGTAGGAATGTACCACCATGCCTGGCCTATATCATTTTTAATTCAGGTGAACTTGTACATGCATAGAGAAAGGAGTGAAAATAAAATGTTATGGGATCACCTCTAGGAGAGTGGGCTTTGAGCGATTTTTAACTTCTTTTATTTTGTTTTTGTTTCTGTTATTTTATGCAATCTTTTTAAAACAAAACACATAATACCTTAATTAAAACTAGTTAGCAAAGAAACAAAAAACACATCCTACTGGTACACGGAAAAGTTCAAGTCAACCAGAGTTTAACGGGTAGGTTCTAAGCTGGAGAAAGGCAACGTTTATAAAGAAAACTGTGAGGCAAGTCATAAACTGCAGCATGTGACCGAACTAGATATTGCCCAGGTTTCCTTAAGCCCTTAGGCAAGTTACCTCATCCAACCAAAAAATAAAAATTAAATTAGAGGGATCTGTAGAAAGAACCTTCAAAACTGAAATGAAGAAATAATGACTGGGAGCAAAGAGGGCGTTTTCCAATAATTTTCACTCTGGTCTCACTGGTCCCCAGGTTTCATGGCTTCTTGCCAAGCTACCTATTCAGAGCACAGTGGGCAGTCCTACACGAGGCAATATTTCAGGAACAGTCAAGGGAAAGGAAAGGATAAATATCTGGCGACTGATCAAATCTGTCATCGGGACCAGGGGCTAATTAAACCCATACTATTTACTGTTCTAATTAGACCACTGTTCAGTTCAGTTTTCTACCCTTAAATGTCACCAAACATAACTGTGCTCTGCCTATAACATAATATAGAACATAAAGTTTTAATTCATAAAAAATACAATAAGCAGTTTAATACATTCATCTGGACATTTAGGTTAGGTAAGTCCAAATCATTTAGGTAAATGTCTAAAATATACACAGCTGAAACTGATTTTTCATTTTGCCACTCGATAGATGGATAGGTGGAATGTGAAAAGTTGAAAAACATCATCAAATATATTTTTAAAGGAAAGCTGACAGTTGGTTGCAGTATCGTTTTGTTTTTATTTCCCACTATCCCATCGGTTCACTTTATACTTAGAATCACGTTTCTCTCCATGACTTCTCCACCTTTATTTACAAAAAAAATTCTTGATTCTAAAATAATTAAAATAGGTATGCTACAAAATACAAGCATTTGGTTTCTCTGATTGGATCAACTGGATGCTCTCCCACTCCAAGAAAATGGAGAGAAAACAGCATCTCAAGAGGTGCCTTCAAAGTTTTCTCATCTCCTTGGCCATGAAGATGGTTGGATTTTGCTTGGAAACCCCCATGCCACTCCCTACCAGATAGCCCTGCAGGTCTTTTCGTGTATTTTTCTTTATCCACAGAGTGGCAATTATGTCGCTGATTTCTACCTAGTTCTCTCTTCCCTTTGATCCTAGCAGCAAAATGATAACAAGCATTCAAAAAAAAAAAAGTCTATTGAAGCAGAATGAAGCACCAGAGTTGCTTCATAAAACACGTGTGTGTGTGTGTGTGTGTGTGTGTGTGTGTGTGTGTGTGTTCCTTACAATAAGAAGAACTTGCTGCCCTGGAACTTCCATTCCTCTAGAGTGATGGGCAAGTGGGTTGGGAGCCTCCTATGCAGCAGAATCCTTCTTAGAGCCTCCCAGATCTACTGCCTTCCACTTGCCTTGCTCTTTCAGGACTGTGTTCAATCTCTGCACACATTTATATTTGCAAATTTTTTATCCAAAAATGTAATGTCCAGGCCAGGCACAGTGGCCCACATCTGTAATCCCAGAGACGGGAGAGGCTGAAATAGGAGGATCACAAGTTTGAGGCCAGCCTCAGCAACTTATTGAGGTCATAAGTAACTTAGTGAGACCCTGTCTCAAAATAAAAAAATATAAAGGGCTGGGATGTGGCTCAGTGGTTAAGCACAACTGGGTTCAATCCCTGGTATGTATGTATGTATGTATAAGTAAATAAATAAGTAAGTAAGTAAATAGAAATAAAAATGCAATGTCCAGAATACAACAGTGTATCTAAGAGAAACAGAGACCACACATTGTCTCTCTGGTCCATGTTTCTTTTCATGAATCCTAAGCCTTAGCTCCTCTTTCCTTCTCCCCTTCCTCCCTCCCTTCTCGCCTTCTTTCGTTCTTTCTTCCTTCCTTTCTTTTTCAGCCACATTTTTTTATTGGAATTCACTATGGAGGCAATATCACATAATGGTTAAAAGCTGTTTGAATCTGGATACATTTCTTAGGCTTTCTAAAACTCGTCTATTA